AGGGTTCTTATGTCATTTTCTTTGATCAAGCAGAACTCAACCTCTCCAGGAATTTATGCCATTCACCCATTGGTGCATCAATGGAGTAGAGATAGGATGTCAATATCTCAAAAGAAGTGCATGATGCAAGTGTCAAAATTGATCCTTGTGAACTGTATCACAGAGGAAATGACAACTGAAAACATGGCATTCAACAGGCTTCTTGTGCCACACATCAAAGCCATTGACCAGTCACAAGAGGAAAATGGTTTTGAAAGAGTCTTCAATGATAAGGAATATTCTAAGTTTAGTTATGTGTTGTATGAAAATGGAATGTGGAAAGATGCAGAGTATTTTCAAAATAAAATTGTAGAAATGAGAATAAAGAAGCAGGGGCCAGAACATCCAGATACCTTGACTGGCATGAATAATCTTGCATTGACACATTCAAAGCAAGGAAAATATGAGGAGGCTGGGGAGCTGCAGCTGAAAGTCCTGGATCTGGATCAAAGAGTACTGGGGCCAGAACATCCAGATACCTTGGGTAGCATGAATAATCTTGCATTAACATATTCAGATCAAGGAAAATATGAGGAGGCTGGGGAGCTGCAGCTGAAAGTCCTGGATCTGCGTAAAAGAGTACTGGGGCCAGAACATCCAGCTACTTTAGTCAGCATGAATAATCTTGCAGCAACACATTCAAAGCAAGGAAAATATGAGGAGGCTGGGGAGCTGCAGCTGAAAGTCCTGGATCTGCGTAAAAGAGTACTGGGGCCAGAACATCCAGCTACCTTGGCCAGCATGAGTAATCTTGCAGCAACACATTCAAAGCAAGGAAAATATGAGGAAGCTGCACAGCTGCAGCTGAAAACTCTTGCATCAGCATAATAGGGTTATAGCAGCATGGTATCACTTACCTACTTCTTGTATGACAGTTGCATTGTATTTACATTTGTTTGTTATTTTGTATGTTGGTACTTCTTAACAAATCAACTCTACTTGAAACCACAACATGTATATTTTATGTGGATGCTCCTGTTCCAGGGTTACAGGATCCTCTACACATGACTCTCATCTCTAAACCATGTCTCCCACTCCCTTCCCCCCTCCACCGTCTGGCAAGCCTGGACTTGTCAGGAAGTCGAGAACAATGAAAGCATTTTCAATGGTGTGGGCACCACAAGTTCCTGAGTGCTTACTGTACTATTTCCTCCAATTCCGCAGGGTCTGTGACACATTACCACCTAGCCAAAATTTTGGTTTCAGCACTTGCAGGATTTGGCCATGACAAGGCCAAAATTTTGGCAGTATGGCTCAGGCTACAAAATTTTACTATGTTGAGACTGTTACCATGAAACAGTTTCAACACAGGAAAAATTTACCCATTACAAGTGTTACATTTTGGCGATTTTGAAGGCTGTGTGACATGTTACTGACGAATTGAATGAAATAGTACAGTAATCTTGAAGGAATTGTGAAATAGTGATGTGCAGGCCCAGCTTGGCCTGGCTTTGGGCAGCTAAGAGACACCTTGTGAGCTCTCTTGTTTACACATACATGCTATTTGCACCCTTTGATCACTTTCTCTTTTTATCCCTTGTATATATACTTCCACTATTTGCTAGTCTTTATTCCAAGCCACCAAAATTTTGTATATAAACCTATAAACTTTATTTCCCTCACCTCAGTTGTCATTACACTTGTGTCTGACTCTGAGGGGAGCTACTTTACTTATATTTTATTACTTGAGACTCACTACCTGTACTACAGTTCTGTATGTTAACAGGTTATGGGCCCGACTTTCTTCTTACCCCAAGCCATCTTGACCTTGTCCACCAAGTAGTGGATGGCATCTGTTGTGGTGCAACTTGGTCATCCTCCAAAGTGAGTGTCTGGAAGTAGGGCATTCGTCTCCACCAGATGGGCGATGTCTTCCACCACTATTGCTGTCAGCACCTTTGGGATTGTGCATAGAAGGGCTATTGGTCGGTAGGCCTTTGGCACCTCATAGTTTGGCTTGCCTGGCTTCCTCAGCACCACCATTGTGAACTCCCTCCACCTTGGAAAGTAAGTTTTTGAAGTGAATACTCCCCTGAACAAGTGAACCAGGTGATCCAGCAGCTGCTCTGGGCACTTCTGAGGGACCACATTGGGGATTTTGTCTGGGCCACACGCCTTGAAGGGCGATGGCCTTTTGATTTGGCACTCAATCTGTTCTGGGGTGATGGGTGGTGGTGCTGGAAGCGGGTCAGGGTAGTCGAAGTTTCTTGGTACTCTTGAGACATCCGGCTTCTGTGGGAAGAAAACATGGGCCAGGGCCTTCACCTTGCCTTCATTGGTGTTAACCTCCCTTATTAGTCTGTCTGTGCCTTTGTCTGCTACAGGCCACGTTTTACTGCATCGGGTTCTTCCCTATGCACTGCGCTCTTTTTTTCCATGTGTTCTCCCCCCGGATGTGCCCACACCGACACATTGCATGTAGTGCATGGTCAGTTGAAAATGACATGTTGAAGCTCCAACTACACGAAATCAAGTTGTTCGTCTCAGAGCCCCACAAAAAGTTGTCAGAGCAGTTGAATGGGTACCATATTGCTCTAGACCCTGCAATGTGGCTTGTGAAGAAAGAGGGTATGATCTCAGATAGAGAATGGAGAAGTTTAATGGGCTGCAGGTTTGCATTATGTTTTTATCATCGTCAGTGACATGCTGATCCCTTGATTTACCAGGCAAGATAGAAGGGAAGAAGAGGAAACATGACAATGCTTCTGCATCTGTCACAGCAAAGAAAGAGAGGAAGAAATCTGGTGAACCAGCGAAAGCCAAGCTAATGAAAGATGCTGATGCTGGAAGCACTACAAGGAAGGCCAAGGCCACCAATTGCAATGACAATGGAATGTCTAAACATTCCAAAAAGTCCTGAGCGATGGTTGAGTCGGAGGATGAAGGTGAAGATGATTTCTCACTGAAGCTTTTCATGAGCAATCAAAGTGTCCATAAGATTTAGAAGAAGCTACTCCAAGGCCTCCTCTCCTCCAGAGTGCACTGTAAAAAAAGACTAAGATGAGCACCAAATCAATACTCCAGAACAACACAAGGAAAACTTGCTCAAGTACAACTAACTCACAACACATTGAAGCCACCCCATATCAAACCCCGCCCATGCGTCATGAGGTCTCTTCCTCACCCTCCACCCCTCCCCACCTTGCCACTTTTGGCCCTCTGCCCCTTCATCACCCTCTCCCTCATCCGACACCCCTTCCATGGCTGCACTGTCACCCTATAACCCCAAGATGCTCATCCCAGAATAAATACTCCTGGGGGGTGCTGTGGTCCCCTTGAGAGCTTGTAGGACATTTGACCAAGTGCCCCTTGTGAAGTGTTGATAGGGCCTTGACATGCATGTGATGATAGTGACTGGGATGGCGAGTTGGGGTGTATGGGGCTGCTGCTGCTGCTGGGGCGGTGGTAGTAGTAGAAGACGTAGATTCTAGTGTTGCCACGGCTCGGCTAGCCGAGAGCCGGCTTATGTAAGCCAGCTAAATTTCCTTAAGTGGCTCAGCTCGGCTTTTAGCTGACCCAAGGCCGGTTCAAGCCGGCACATAATTCTCAAAGTGATGTGACTATAAATCTGGGTAAATTAGATGCTGTCTACCTGATAGATACACAGTGTAATGTATATTTCGAGCATAGAACTATAATAGAAACCAAATGATTATGAAAATAAATAAAAATTCGCAAAAAAAAATAGGGGAGGATGTGAGATAGCATAGAAATAGGAGCATGTATGGATGTCATCTCTTCAGCTCCTTCAAATACGACTAGAATACAATGTAAACAAGCCTTCAGTGAAGAAAAATGGTGGAAAGCTGACTGAGATACAGCTCAACTCCCCCCAAAAGAGAAAATGTAACATATCTCCGGAATGCAGACACGCAAACCTCTCGTCTCTTCGGGACCTTCAAACGACACTAGAATACATTTTAAACGAGCCCTAGATCATAAGAAATGATGGAAATTTGACTGACCTAGGGTACTCACTCCCCAAAACAGAAAATGTAACATATCTCCAGAATGCGGACACGCAAACCTCTTGTCTCTTCGGGACCTTCAAACTACACTAGAATATGTTTTAAACGAGCCCTAGATCATAAGAAACGATGGAAATTTGACTGACCTAAGGTACTTGCTCCCCAAAACAGAAAATGGAAGGTATCTCCAGAACGCGGACACGCAAACCTCTCGTCTCTTCGGGACCTTCAAACGACACTAGAATACGTTTTAAATGAGCCTTTAATGAAGGATGGTGATGGAGAACTCACAAAGATAGAGTACACCCTCCTGATGAATCATGAAACTTAGCATGACAGATATCTCAAAAATATGATGGCAGATGCCTCTCGTCTCTTCAGGCCCTGAAATCGACATCAAATAGCTGGTAATCAACACTTATTTGGTAGAAAATGGTACAGAACTGACCAAGATACAAAATAGCCTCATGGTGTCTATCCAGCACCTATTACATGTTTCTTAGGGCTATTATTGGGCTATTCTGGTACCCATTCTTACGTTATACTATGTGGAGTTCATTTACAATTGATATGGTACACTACTCAAGTTTACGGTTAAACATAAATTGGGGGAGAAGAGGAGAAGGAAAGCAAAAGAGATGTGACAGATGCTGAAGCACTATATATCTGAGGCACTTTAGGGTGGGTTGAGATTTAGGGCAGGCTCATCTCATCCAAGTGCGTGTCTGTGTTCCAGAGATATATTACATTTTCTGTTTTGGGGTGTGTGACTCTGTCACACCGTCTCAGGCAATTCTTAGCTATTTTCTATGATCTTAGGTTCATTTAAAGTATATTCTATTACTAGTTGAATAATATGTACAGACAAAAGCCAATTTTATTTGTTTCGAATGAGCTAGCATGTGTGGTTGATGAGGCTGAAAATCCTGGCTCTAGCCGGCTCAAGCAGTAGCCAAGCCAGATCAATCGGCTTGGCTTGGCTCGGCTTTAATTTCAGCTCGGCTGTGGCTTGAACCAGCTAAAAGCCGAAGCCATGGCAACACTAATGTAGAAGTCTTGGCCGTAGGAGCAGGAGTAGGCCCAGTCACGAGGAAACACCCAAAAGTGCATAAACAACCCCCTGCAACCTCGTAACACCCACCAAGATAACCAACATCTTGCCCCTTTCATACTCTGGCATCTGTATCCTGCTCCCACCCCTCCCCACACAATCATGCTCCCAGCTACACTGCGGTGCATGAGCGGGGTACCACCGTTGGCCTGGCCAAGGCAGAGGAGACACCTGAAACAATGAGGGACTTGAGCCCATGTGCACAGAAGAAAAGTACCTCTTCAGAGGAGTGGTCGTGATAAAGGGATCAACTTGGTTTACCTTCATAGTGGGAGTAAGTTTGAGACAAGACAAATACCCAGAGAGAAAGAACATACGCAAACAACGCACAACCCCATGCACCTCCCACAGCAAGATGCATCAGCTTTTATCTGTTCCTGGGGAACTTCTTTGCGGAAATGAGTTCTGTCTTGCTGAGTATGAGGTTTAGCATGCCCTGCAGCACAAGTTTGTCCGCCAACATGAGATCTGCATGGATAGTGAGTATGTGGTGTGTGAGGAGGGGGAAGAAGAAGTGTCTGTGCCCAGAGCCCAGCAGGATGAATCACCTGAGTTTGGGAGTGGGCAAGAAGGCGTGAATAGGTGGTGGATTCAAAGGTTTGTCCGCCATCAGCCTGAGCATCTTTGTCTGAGAGGGTAGCTAATTTGAAAAGGGGCCAGTTTTCGCTCACTTGAGTGACCAATTTCATTCTTCAACAGGGTGGTTGGGAGTGAGGACACCACTGTCCTCTGCAGACACTTTGTCTGCATCGGTGTCACCTTGGATTTAGTGAACTGCCACATCTGCCCTATGTTCTGCACTGCACACCGCACGTCCTTGGGCAACCTCACCACCACCTCCCTTGAAACCCTCAACACTAATCGACTCCCCTTCTATTAGTCGCCACACCCACTTGCAAGGCGTAGATTCTTTCATCGTTGGGTGCAAGAACTGATGAGAGGAACTGAAAAGTTGCAGAGATCAGTGTGTCGAGTTCTTCTAGGCCTGAGGGGAGAGGCTAAGAGAGTGTCCATGGTAGATGCCAATGCAATGTTTGCATCCTGTAAGCCAAGCATGCAGATCAACGAGCTGGTCCCAATCTATAAGTCCAGTTGGCGTTCCCAGACGCACCATTGATTTTTCTTGCAGGCTGCCTTTTGCAAGAATGTATACATGTGAAGCATCAGCTTTGAGAGCTGCGAATGACTGCGATGCAGCGAATGGTCCCGATTTATGATGAGGATTCCCCCTTGTTGCAAAATGGAAAGAATGAATTAGGGAGGCACCTGCACGTAGGTTGGGGAGCTTCGGAGGTGGCTAGATGCATACAATATCAACAGTCCGAGGATTAAACAAGGCAGTTGGCATGGGGAACATTTGTCATGGTTATATGCGGGAACAGTGAAATTTGTCAACTCGTCGAGGTAGTGGAAAGAGACAACAACCAAAACAAACGTTCAACATGGATTTGATCGTCAACCACCAACATCTCCACCAACTTTGCTAGCTTACCATTCGCGTGCCTGGGAATCTCTTGTTACATTTGCAGAGCTGTCCAGTTCTCCTGCTCAACATTCGCTGGGTGAGTATTTGATCTGTCATCGCTCATTGAGAGTAAACCTGACACGGAATTGCAAGTTCATGCATGGCGCACAAGCTTTCAAACCGGTGGAGGGCTATCTATTCTGATTCATTCAATTACTTTTTCATTCACAGCCCTCGTGTCCTTGTTTTCCATGAACGTCTCATCACCATAATCCTGGTCCACGGTTGATTTGGAAACCCACATCAACCACCCTTTGAGTGAAGTGAAAGATCAATGACAAACAGAGAGGCGATCGTCTTGTCGCTGAAGTTTATGTGCGTGCCCTCTTTTCATGAGGTCTTTACACTGCCACTGCTTTTCCGAGCGGACTCCGGCCGGACTCTGTCGGACTGAGGGTATGCAGAACAGATATTTTTCTGCTTTGAAATGCAGCAAATTTTCCGGTGAATGTCCGAAGCTTTTCCGAGCATTTTTGGTTGGACTTTTCCAACAGACTTCCGATGGACTAACAGCAAACTAGCACCCAGTCCACTGGAAATGACGAGCAAGTGCCAACGGAATTCCAGTGGACAAATCCAACAGAAGTCCAACGGAATTCCAACAGACTGTTGTTATTATTATTAATATATAACATAAAAAAAATGCAACATTGGGGAATTGAACACTCAACCTTAGGATCTGAAGCATATGGAACCCAATGCTAAACCAGCTGCACCAAGGAGCCTTTGATATAAGTAAGTACTTTGTACTATACATACCTACTGTTTGACCGCTTTCCTAAAACGGTCATCGGCAAACGCCGACGCATCATTTGGCCATCATCAACGATCCCACGTCGCTTGTCCTCAACCACATCCATCCCCAGCAACGACAGCCCACCGACCCACGACGACACGACACGCGACGCGGATGGCACGACGACACAACAACACGACAACACGACAACATGACGACGACAACACGACGACAACACGACAACACGACGACGACGATGACACGACGACGACGACACAATGATGTGTGAACGACGCGCGACGCGGACAACACGACAACACGATGACAACGACGACACGATGACGTGTCGACAACGCCTGTCGACGAGACAACAACGAGGTGACGACGACGCCCAAGGAGAACGAAAGGCAACAACGATGCGCAACGGCGACAGGACGGACGACGACACGACGACGACGATGCGACGACGACACTACGACGATGACACAACACGCGAGGACGATGACAAAACACGCGACACGAGGATGGCGACACGACGCGATGCAATAACGCGTCAACGATGCGCGCCAATGACCACGCGCGAACGAGGATGAGGGCCCAGCACCACCATCCCCTCCCCCCTCCATTACTCACCATTCCATCCCCTCACCATTACTCACCACTCCCTCCCCCCAC